CATCGTATCTATAACTCGCTCTTGCGCATGCGCGCAATTCACGAGTTAAAAACTACTGGTCTAATAGGGGAGGGGGTCTGGATAACTTTTTACCTATAGCCTCTAAGGTAGGAGCAACTGGTTTCTCACAGAAGACAGCTTTTCCCGCTCGTAAACATCGCATCACAATATCCTCGTGCATGTCAGTTGGAGTGGCTACCACTGCAGCCTGCACGGTTGGGTCAAGTAACGCTCTTTCCATGTCGGATGGGGCAATAACTTGTGTATCCGTGAAATTTTCTTTCACGAACTTCTTGGCCTTGTCTTCGTCAATATCTACGATCCATTTCAGGGTTGCCTGTGGGTTTCGTATGAGGTTCGTGGAATGGATGATACCTGCTCGACCCAAACCAAACACCACAAAACCGATACGGGAACCGTGACTCATAGTATTCAACTAAAAGGGAAACATTAAATAGAAAAAGCGTTATGGGTCACATTCAGCACGACTTCCATCGACAGGAAGACTTACTACTGACGTAAGGCCCATGGAATTCAGGAAATTACGTCTTGAGTAAATTCAGTTGATCTCACGTGGCCATGACAAGCTGCCGTAAATAATCGGTCTTCGTTCACATTAGTGGAGTCAAAACTGACTTCGCACTTAACATTACTCTCATAAAGAAAAATCTGTCTCTAATTTCAGTTCCCTCTGAACACTGCAAGTGACCGACTAAATGATGGATCGGTCAATATTTTAAAATAAACGGCTCGTGAAAACGTAGGAGGTATAATTGCTAGTGACGTGCAAATCACATTTTCCAAACATAGCTTCAACTTAAAGCACAATAAAATCTGAAGTTATGAGATGAATAAACATATTTTGTGATAACAAACACTTCGACGCTAAAAAAATGAATTTGGGGTTTATCTCGGTGTTTAATAGTATGCGTTCACAACCCAAAATACAAACAGAATTAATAACTTTTCTGGGATGCAAAACGAATACGGTAATGTCACGCGACGTTATTTATAAAATGTCGTCATATCATGAGACAAAAAGAAAGTCCGGCATTCTAACGATTTCCTCCTGTTCGATGTTTGTATTTTCTCAGTTTCGATTGGTTCTGAATATTTTACACGTAAAATCAATAACACTTACTCACGTCCTGTGTGTCGAGACGTGAGCTTGAGCCCCCTGAAGTAACGTATGCTTTAAGGCAAGATTTCCGGATAAGCCCACAGTTAAGTGCCTACCTTAGTTTCAGTGTCGACAGAAACCGAAAACGTAATCAGTAAACGTTCCCTAACCAAAGCAACGTAAATTTAAATTAAAAATCTACTCAATGTTTATCGACACCTGTGCGGTTCATAAGTTGGTCGAAGAACTCAAGTTGAGTCACTACGACTATTTATATTTTTTTCTTTTGAAAGTGAAACGAGTAACGCATTCTTGAAGCAAGATTTCCGGATATAAGCTCACGGATGAGTGCCTACCTTAGCTTCAGTGTCGACAGAAACCGAAAACGGAAACAGCAGACGTTCCCCCACCAAGGCAACGTGAAGATATGTCTTACCAAACTGTTCAGAGACAAAACGTTGCAATATTTACGGATTCTCTTTATGATTATTTCATAGCTGGACGGTTTCCGGCGCGAGTCATTCGATCCTTTCTCTCAACACATCAGAAATTGTACGTGTAGATCGTTGCGCAAGAAGCACTGCACTTTAGCGCCGCATGATTGCGTTGCATCATGGTAGCGTTATTTTCGGGTAGTTACTAAAACAAGGAATGAGCTAAAACGACTTAAAAAAACCTTGAGCGATTTCTAAATGACCTAATAGTTCAGGTCGTGAAAAAAGAAGGGGAGATATGAGATGGCATGAAATGGCTCAGCGCTCCGTAGGTTTGTCACGCATTCCTCTCAA